GTGGACCGCCAATCATCCAGGTGGTATGGATGGTATCGCAAGTTTTGTCGCGATGTGCGATGGTGAAATTGAACGGCTGGAATTAGTCCGAACAATTCCTCAGAGCACTCCCCATGGTAAATGCGATAAAATACGCAAAGAGATGCAACATATCTACGCAGTGCCAGTGAGTCAAGCCGATCGAAAAGAACTCGGTCGTCGACGATTCGAATCGCTCTGCGCTGGATGCGGTTAAGTGGAAGGAGCTGGCACTGGGGAGCCCCGGCCCAGAGATGGGAACAGTATTCTATGTGAGGCCAAACCTGCGGTTGTCTCCTTTAAAAAGAGCAAGGCCGGCTTCGCCGTCTCTAGATGGTAATGGACAGCGTTAAGGTTGGAATGAAGTCCCCTGATGATGCGAAAATTCATGGATAGCGTGTTAGGGGTCGCCTTGGTCTTATTGATCCGCTTGCCCCGAGCAGTATTAGTCGCGAGCGGAATTTTGTCCTCTCAAAATACGCCGGGTAGTTTGGTCGTAGATGCTCAGCGAGGGATTCTCCAGGGGTGCTGGTGTAGTTTTTTTGTTTAATTCTGCTACCAGTTTTCTGGCTGATCGGAGCTCAAGGTCGTAGTAGACGGTGCATGCTCCGATTACAAGCCTATTAACGCTGGTTTCTTCTGCATATCAATGATATGTTGTTAACCGGTAACATACATTGCTATGCAGAAGAGAGCACTGGTGATGCTTTATACACCGGCCGTGCCAGTATTTCTTGGGAAAACGTCGCCGAGTACCGGAACAAACTTGTGTCTGAAGTCGAGACTTTGTTGCCAGTTCCTTCCACTTGACCACATCCAGCGCAGAACGGTTCGAATCGTCGACGACCGAGTTCTTTCTGATCGGTTCGATACAGCATAGGAATGTTGTATCACTTTGCTTTTTCTATCGCATTTACCACGGGGAGTGATCTAAGGAATTGTTCGGATTAATTCCAGCCACCAAATTTCACGAACGCGCATCACGTCAAAATTCACGATACCATTCTCACCGTCTGGATACTTGGCAGTCCACGACTGTGTATTTTATTAGGAGTTTTCTTCCTCGTACGACTTCTCTGTGGAATTGTTTACCACCGGCGACTTTTCCGGACCGATACGACTTAGGGACCTTCAAGAAAAGAGCTTACACCTTTCTAAAAGGCCGGCAACGCATCTGCAATTCCCCTGGTGTTGCGGTTGTACATGGGCTGCGGTAGTCACTTACCACCAGGTGAGCCGCATGATCGCTTTGCCCCCTCTTCTATAAAAAAAAAACAACTAAAAATAATGTATTCCAGAATAAGGTTTCAGAAATAAAACGCTTGCTATAGAGATATATGCTAGCCTATGCTTGGTGCCTTTCTAAAGAAATATTTCATAATTTTGTTCTTTGCTCGTAACCTTACTAAATTATAATAAAAATAATAAAATATCTTTATTTCAGGCAACAGAGGACCCATACAAGAATGTTAGTAAAATTGAAGTGAAATATAAATTAAATTACAGTGTTAGTAATTAAATAAATTTATATAAATAATTATGACAAATGTAAATAGAGATGTTTGAGATCAGCCACCACTAGGTTACCGGCATGTACTTATGTCTTATACCGTGGCATGTAGCAGTATCCATTGCTCAAGCAGCGGCGAGTCTCACCTATCTGCCATTGTGTTGAGAATGCTATTGGAGCTGCCCCGCAAATGCAGTCTTCAGCTTCTCAATCATCCAAAAATTTCAACCCCTATTTTTTCTACAAGAAGTGTGATTTTTCTTCAAATTAAAAATATTAACATATTGTCTATTTGCTAAAAAGAAATAACAATTAAAATCAGTTCACAATCCGAAAAGATATCATATAACATCATCATCATCATCATCATCATCATCATCATCATCATTACAGCCCTTCACAAGTCCACTGCTGAACATAGGCCTCCCCCAAGGAATGCCGCAAAGCCTGACCGTCCTGAGCCACCTGCATCCATTGACTTCCTACATCTCTTACCAGGTCGTCACTCCATCTAGTGGAGGACTGTTCTTCCACTTAAGCATGTATTGGCGATGAGGATGTCGTAATTTGGATGTCGTAGGAGGCGACAAAGGGAATAATCCAGGCCATCTCCCGGATTTCGCAACAGTCTTTTCTTAATATCAACTAAAATATAATAAAACTGCGATTACTACCCCACCTACCAAGCATGGCAACTATTGCAAAAATCCTCATATAAACAGTAATAAAAAGAGGCATATTCTTTATTAATTTTTATCTAGTGTCTTCTTTGTTTAGGATTAGTGAGTGTAGAGTCTATATCCTCTCACTTGAACGCTACTTATTTATTAAGCTCGCGTCATAATATCGTTTGACCTAGTAAGCTTCACTATGATTAATTTTTTTCTGATCAATGGTAAAAACCAAATGAGGTAAAACCACTTCAGTGAAATTTGGTTACAATGGTTGAATGGATTTTCCGTCGTCAGTCGTAAGAACCTCATCTGTGCATAAACAGTGTTCACAGCGTATAGAGTAATTTTTCAAGACGTGTGTGGTAACTTCGGTGGGAGGCGCTCGCTGTAAATTTCACTGTACGCGATCAACCCGGGTTTGGTCTCCGCCGGCACAAATGAAATTTTTAATTACGATTTTTAGTGACGATTTACCACGTGCTCGGCGATAAAGAGAACATCGTGAGGAAACTTGTATAAATATCACCTCAGTCTATTTTATTAAAAATTTCAAGAACACGTGAAGCCTGGCTATTAATTTTTCTCCCATAAAAAAGAGAACGAATTCGTTCCTTCGTGTTTGCGCATTGCGCTCATACTTTTGACAATATCATGTGTTCTGCGTACTTAATAATTTATGACAATATCTGAATATTATCGCCACGGTACCAATCTTTTTTTTACATTTTTTTATATAGGATAGAGTGACAAAAGAGCACACAGTCCACCTGATGGTAAGTGGTTGCTGTGGCCCATAGACATCTACATCTATCTTTGATAAAGAATCAAAATGCAGATGCGTTGTCAACCATGAAGACTAAAGTGGAATGCCTCATTTCCAGTAAAAAGGGTCTCCGAATCTATACACTCACCATACGAAACACAGCAGCTTTAAGCTGCTATTTTACGCTGGTATTCTGTGAGAGCGTGGTCCTTCCCCGGTCGAGCCGACAACCATAGTATAGCTGCAGCATGGCTCTACCACGTATAAAATAAGGGTGACAAACGATCACACAGTGTACCTGATGGTAAGTAGATGTGACCGAGAGACATCTACATTCATCCTCAATTACGAATTAAAATACAGTTGCGTTGCCACCCCTAAAGGACTAAGATAGAATACGTTGTTTCCAGTAAAAAGGGTCTCCGGATCTAAACACTCACCATACAGTAGCATTTATCTGCTATTTTACACTGGTATTCTGTGAGATAGTGGTCCCACCCCGGTCGAACCGACCCATTCGTTCTATAACAACATAGTTGCAGCGTGGTTCTACCACGTAAGTAAACTTGTAAGATACATAAACTGTACTGTACATATAAGTATCTTAGGGAGCACTTTCAGATTTCAGGCCGATAGATTCTGTTCTCAATAGATTACCTGATTCACAGAGCGTACATTATTTATTACTCTGTCGCTACATACACTGCGCCGAACTGCATCCTGCTGGCCGCTTGGGATTTGTATAATAGTAAATTTTAAAAAGGTTATAAAAAAAGGATCTTTTAGTTACGAAATATAAGAGAGACGGTAGTCACTGAGTCTTTTTATAAATTCAAATTTCCTTTACTTTCGGATCCCTGTGTAATACTTATTATGTACAGGGTAGCTAACATAGTGTGATGAAATGAAATAAAATAGAATAGTATAAACAAATAAAGGTAAACAGACGAAATACGACAAGAATTGTGTAATTTAATATAACATTTTTGATATTTCTTTTTTTCCATTTTTAAAAACGACGTTACCCCGACACTAGCATTTTCTCCTGTAACTGGAGGCAGTTTAAACTCCGAACAATTATTTATAGGCGTTACGAATACTTGTTCCGTGCGGGATTCGAACCCGCGGCCCTAAGCGTCGCAACTCATTGCTAAGCCACTGCGCCAAAATGTCGCCCCGATATCCTGTACTCTAAAGCAGGAGTGAATAAGCTTTTATTATGCTAAATCAGTGAGCTTTACCATTTTCTGCCACATCACTACTTACCACTAGGTGAGATAATAGTAAAGAACATGTTTTATTCTCGTCCAATTTAGAATCAACCTGTTTGTCTTTATCCTAACTCCCTCTCCAATATCCGTTACCAATGGAGTGTTATATTCATGGTAAGATTTCACGATTTATTGAAGTTCATTATTTATTTTGCTATAATTATTTTATTTCATGTTTATTTGGATGCATACTTGAAATTGTCTTATATGATTTTTAAATCTTCCTCACTTTCAATACACAGATTTGTGTTATTTTAGTCCGAACCTGGTTTTTATCATTAGTATATTGTTATTTTGGAATAATGCTCGTAATTCACTATATTATTCTTGTTAAGATATCGTAAACATTGCGTAACTAAAGCAATGACATAAGTTATAAATAAATTGCTAGACATTCAAAGAATTCCTAGTCCATCTGCTTATCTGGGTGAATACAGCAGATTCATCACTAAAAAAATTCACCACGTGTATGTCGAGCCACGCACAATGTAGAGTTCCGTAGTTGCCCGTCACAATACGCGAGCTTCCTTGATAATGAGCATGATGAGTTCGCGGTTGGACCGCTATAATGACCATTAATGGGACCAAATAGGAAGATCATAACTCGAGGACCTATTTTCAAATCAGCCTTATAGGGAGTGATATTATTCAAAAAGTTTAAAAAACTTTTCGATTTTGATAGTATTAACAATACCCTATAAAAGTAAAACCAATAATAATAGTAGTAAGACATATAAGTCGTTTCCTACTTAAAATGTTTATTTTTAACAGTTTACGCTTGGTAGAGCCATGCTTACACGTGGTAGAGCCATGCTTATACGTGGTAGAGCCATGCTTATACGTGGTAGGGCCATTCTTATACATGGTAGAACCACGCTTATACGTGGTAGAGCTATGCCTACATGTGGTAGAGCCAAGCTTATAGGTGGTAGAGCCATGCTAATACGTGGTAGGGCCATGCTTATACATGGTAGAACCACGCTTATACGTGGTAGAGCCTTGCCTACACGTGGTAGAGCCTTGCCTACACGTGGTAGAGCCATGCTTACACGTGGTAGAGCCATGCTTATACGTGGTAGGGCCATGCTTATACATGGTAGAACCACGTTTATACGTGGTAGAGCCAAGCTTATAGGTGGTAGAGCCATGCTAATACGTGGTAGGGCCATGCTTATACATGGTAGAACCACGCTTATACGTGGTAGAGCCTTGCCTACACGTGGTAGAGCCTTGCCTACACGTGGTAGAGCCATGCTTACACGTGGTAGAGCCATGCTTATACGTGGTAGGGCCATGCTTATACATGGTAGAACCACGTTTATACGTGGTAGAGCCATGCTTATACGTGGTAGGGCCATGCTTATACATGGTAGAACCACGTTTATACGTGGTAGAGCCATGCCTACACGTGGTAGAGCCATGCTTACACGTGGTAGAGCCATGCTTATACGTGGTAGAGCCATGCTTATACGTGGTAGGGCCATGCTTATAAATGGTAGAACCACGCTTATACGTGGTAGAGCCATGCCTACACGTGGTAGAGCCATGCTTACACGTGGTAGAGCCATGCTTATACGTGGTAGAGCCATGCTTACACGTGATAGAGCCATGCTATTACGTGGTAGAAGCACGCTTATACGTGGTAGTGCCATGCTTACACGTGGTAGAGCCATGCTTATACGTGGTAGAGCCATACTAGTAGTATAGTTGTAGCACGAATGGGTCGTCTCGACCACTAAACGACCACACTCTCACAGAATACCAGCGTAAAGTGGAAGCTTAACACTGCGGTGTTTCATATGTTCATATGGAATGTAGAGAACAGAAGAACCATTTTACTGGAAAAGAGGGATTCCATCTTAGTCCTCACGGGTGACGACGCGTCTGCATTTTGATTCTTTATTGAGGATAAATGTAGATGGCTATGGGTCACAGCAACCACTTACCATAACGTTAACTGTGTGCTCGTTTGTCACCATATGCTATAAAAAACAATAACATTGCAAAGTTATTAATGCAGCTAGGTTATTTTCTATGGAGTTGTAACGAAATTTTTACTAATCCAAGTGCATTTAGTCGACTATTTACTCGTTAACTTTTTGATTCTACTTAGCTGTGATAGTTTTTCTTTTAACTTCATTATATGTATTACTATTGTGTATAATTTTGAAATTTCCAAAAACAGCGGTTTAATTGGTAGAGGCTAAATATTTCTCAAACGGACCCCTGATTCGAAAAGATTTTGTTCCACGTCCCCAATGTTTTTCAAAGACATTAAAAAAGAATCATCAAGAAAGTAAAAAAATCATCCTCCATTTACTTGTATGGGAAGTACCCAAAATAAAAATGTTTTTTAAGATTTTATTGAACATTATTTTAGGCGTGATTAATATCTATAACTATGCCAAATTACAGATTTGTAGCTAGGGTCTCTGAGCAAAACCGCAGACGGACGGACGGAGAGACATAAGGGTTCCTTGTTGCGTAACTACGGAACCCTAAAAAGGAATATCGTTAGAGAGAAGCCTTTTAATTTGAATTAACAGAATTAATTTCAATCTGAAATCAATAAAAATACGGTCTTTCATTACTTTAGAAAAGCGTCTAACTTTATTTTTTCCAATTTAATCTAAAAAAAGACAAATCGTCACTGGATTTTGTCTTAGATCGCACGTGACCAAAATAAATAAGTTCCTACTTCTATTGTTAGTTTCACGTTATTCGGAAGCATGTTAAGACTACAAAAAGAAGAAGGTTCTCTATTCAACTGTATTTTTTGTTTTTTATTTCGTTCGTATTATACTTTTAATTATGAAGCAATTTTAAATTCCTTTTTTTTTATTAAATTGGCTCTACTCGACAGGAGGTCCTTTTATCAATTGAAAAAACTTACACTCTTTAGAGAGAGCAAAATTGAAGTGATTAATGTAACTATTTAGACGACATAATAGTTGTTGTTGTAATTGTGTATTCTTTTTTTTTTATATGATAAGGGTAACAAACGAGCACGTCAACTCAAAAAGGGTCAAAATATTGAAATTTAGAAATCAAAATCCGGCTTCAAACAGTTAAAAAAATAATAAAATAATTTCACTCTCCAAATTTTTCTTCTGAATTTTTACAATATTATAAAAATGCTATATGTTTTTTATAACAAAACAAATGGTAACAATATAATTAAACTTATCTTCACGCACAATCCCTGACGGGGTAGCCAGAGAGAACAGATCGCCAAGTGTCACGATCCTTACATACCTCTTTCGCTTCTTTCAGATTCATTATCTTCTTATCTCATATCCGAGTACTCTTGACCCTACCCTCTTCGAGCAATTTGCTCACATGGTCTTCGGAAGTTGGTCTCGGTCTACCTCGACACCTTTTAATATTAACTTTCGCGCTATATATTTTCTTCACCATTCGGTCTTCACTCATTCGCTCAACGTGCCCAAACCACCGAAGCACGCCCTTATCAATTTTTGTGATAAGGTCATCTTACAAACCTGCCATATTGCGAATCTCTTCGTTTCGCTTTCGGTCGGCCATGGTAACGCCGCACATTTTACGAAGAGATCGCATCTCCACTGCATTCAACTTGCTTTTATGCTTCTTCTGGCATACCCAGGTTTCGCTGCCATATAACAAAGTCGGTACCAACACTGCGTTATGTATTGCAAGGCGTGCAATCTTCACTACGCCTTGCCTTTTGACTAACGCAGTCAGGGCACCATTGACTTTGTTCCCGGCAGCGACACGCCTGTCCACATCTAAATCACATCTTCCATCCCGGCTAAAAGCACTCCCCAAGTATACAGTTTCATTTACTTGTTCTAGACATTCCTGATTTACCCATATTTCACACTTCGTTCTCTCTTCGTCCCTTTCAAATACCAGAACCTTAGTTTTATTAGCGTTCAAACGGAGACCTTTAATTTCACATTCCTCTTTCATACACGTGACTAATGCCTGCAGTTATGCCTCTGATGGTGCAATAAGCACTGCATCATTTACTTTAATATCAATGACAATTTACTTTAATATCACCCAATTTCACACCCACACAGCTATCTTTTAGCTTTTGTAAACAGCTGTCGATATACAGTATGAACAGCCAGGAAGACATGACACAACCCTGTTTTACGCCCGTTTGGACGCTAAGCATGGGTGACAGGTCATGCCCTACCCGCACACAGGCTTTACAGTCACAGTAAAGAGACTGCACAGCCCTTAGCAATCGACCATCCACACCATACCCCGGCAACAGTTCCCACATTTTCTTCCTTACAACCTTATCAAATGCTTTCTCAAGATCCACAAAAGCAAAGAAAATCTTCTGGTTAGCAGCCAGAAGCTTTTCCGTGATCATGCGGAGAGAAAACATTTGATTCGTGCATCCTCTTCCAGGTCTAAATCCGCATTGTGCCTCCAATAGAAATCATTCCGATTTCTCTTGCATCCTACGTGTCAAAAACTTCGAGTAAACTTTACTTGCTAAACTGGTCAAGCTGATCGCCCGATAGCACCCGCAGTCAAAATGTGAACATTTACCTTTATATAAAGGCACAATGACTGCGGATCGCCAATCATCCGGGACATCCCCCGTCCGCCAGCACAAATTGCACAGCAGATGAAAGCTGTCCCAGACGCGAGGCCCATTTCTTTCATTTCCCATACTTGACCATTTCAGCAGTAACTCTGTCTAGTCTCGCAGCCTTACCACATTTCAAACTTCGAATCGCACGTTCAATCTCTTTCATACTGATGACCTCAGTGTCATCGAGATCCGGGTCTGGCGTACCAGTCACGGCGTCATCCCCGGATCCCTCACTAAGATCATCACACGCATACATTTCTCTATAAAATTCGCTCCATCGCTGCATGACGTCCGATTTTTCTGAGAGGACGTCATTAGTTCTCGAAAGCACTTTGTTCATTCTTAAGGTCGTCGCACCACTTCGGGTCCTTCCAACCTCTTCCCAGAAGAGTTTGGAGTTCTCCTTAAAGTTCTGCGACAACCTTTCGTCCGCTTCCATTCTACACCTTTCACGCACTTCCTCAATCAATGCTTTCGTGTGAACTTTCTGCAGCCTATATCTTTCTTTCATCTTATCTCTCATATCCTTATCATTACTAGAGGCCAAGTAGTCTAACCATGCTTTCTTCTTCTTCTTTACAGCTTCTTTCACTTCATCATTCCACCATGCATCTGTTCTTTTACTACTGCCTCTTTTTATTGTTCCACACACTTCTTCCACTGCACTTACCATTCCATCCCTAAGGTTCTGCCATGTTCTTTCTACACATTCGTTTCTGCCATCGATGGTGTCAAGCTTTTCGGCTACCCTCGCATGATATTTGTCCCTAGTATCCGCTTCCTGAAGCTTCCAGCTTCGGATGCGACAGACCGTTTGTGGTTCTGTCACTGTCGTCCGGTAGCAATATGAATCATATTATACATTTCTGATAAAAATACAAACCGACTTCAAAGTGAAAATCATCCACAAAGTTACATTCGAATCTTCATTTCCTATTTTTCATCCTCAATAATAGATTTTTTTTAAATTTATGTCGTAAATTTATATATGTAAACGTATCTATAATCACTCCTGAATTAGAGACTACATAATAAAAAAACATTTAAATCATTTCAGCCGTTTCCGTGAAATCGATGAACATACATAAACAAAACCCACGTCGAATTTAGCAGCTGCTCATTTTTTGAACTCGGTTAAAAAGTAACAGTTATTGTGTAATCAGAATAACACACACTAGAACGCGTATACTAGAGAGCAATTGAAATTGATTTGAAGATTTTATTTTTCAGTCTTTTTGGTGTCTGAACACCGTATGAAAAGGCTGAAAATAATATAGTATATTAACCGAGTAGGTGAAAGAGATAGCATGCTTCGGTAGCTATTTAAAACCGCTTCTTAAATAGCGCGACTTATACCAATTAATTAAGTATTTAACCAGCCTTAAGTCTGAACGAATGTTTTTCTTTGTCAGAAATTGCCATTTAGTAAAGCTGTATACGCTGTCAATTTAGTTTCATTATCGTAAGAACAACGTTTACGAACGTATTAACAAGCGGCAATGTCGGCGTAACGAGCAGATGTGGCGAGCGAAGTGCGTAATGAAACTGTGCTTGCCAGCCTTTTTTACTGTAGCAATTTCGGCGCCTATTAGTATACTTTAGTCTCGAACATTCTACAATACAGATTTCATGTAAATTATATGTGATATCGTTCTTTGAATAATTTTTGTCATTAATCATTACACCCTATCAAAATCCACCGATGAGAATATGCCTTCCCGTAGAAATCCTCATAAAATGGATACTCATAACACGCTTTCCAGGCGGGTTGAACACTGTTGTTTTTCTTTTCATTTTTTATAAGAGAGACGCTGTTGCCCATCTCCTGGTTTGTTTCCTTCTGTCGCCTCCACGGGTCGATATAAGGTAGTAAATATTCTTACACCACTTAAAGATTAATTACAATTTCAAATTAATTATTAAAAATATAGTAAAAGTATAATCTAGAACCTAAGCAGCCACGGCTACAGCACCTAGAATATGTGTAGAAGTCGTGTGGTGTGTTTTGTTAAGGCGATTGCCGTAAATATCACAGTACGCGAGCATCCTTGACTTGACCCCCCCAAACTTATAAAATCGTTAGTTGCAACTTTAAATATTACCTTTACCACGTTCTCGGTTTACCGCCGAGCATAAGACAGATGTTCTTCCCAGGGCAGAGGCTTTTTTTCCGAAACAGTGGTAAAATTTAAATGAGTTTCATATCCTCTCATTCTTAATAATATTAACTGCCTTGTTGGTGTAGTGGCCGTAAACGCAACTACTGAACATAAAGTCTCGGGTTCTAATCCCAACTCAGACAAAATAATAAATTATTTTCTGTCAAGAAATTCTCAGTAACAGCTCGGAGTCATGAAGTTGACAGTGTTTCACCCTCCGTACCTCGAAAAGCAGGTAACTTTTTTCCTGTACCTGATCTCTCTCTTTCTCTTTTTCTCTTTCTTTCTCTCTCTCTCTCTCTCTAAGAGGTGCATTGCAACCGGCATATACTGGCGCTCACGATGTTGTTGAGGGAAAAGCCAAAACATACAAAATTAGTGTAAATGGCAAAGTCGTGGCAGTATCATTAGACCAATTGAAACTAACCTACTGTCCCACTTCAATGACTCCAATCCAACTCCTTCGCCATCTTTCAAACCAACTGCTAATCCCACACCTAATCCACTTCCAAATCACGTACTATAGATAGTATCCAAAGCCTTAACCTAGTACCCAAAGTCGCGTACATTTATATGTAATATAAATTAGACACAAAATACTATGGCGCATAAATCTCAGCCAAATCAACAACAAACGAACACATTCCACCTGATTACAAGTAGATACTGTGACTCATAGACTCAATTTAGATCAAAATGCAGATGTGTCGTCATTGTCATTCCTAAAGACTAAGATAGAATACCTCGTTTCCATTATAAAAGATCTTTCGTTCTCCACACTCACCATATTCTGAAATACAGTAGTTGCGGCTTGGCAACCGCAGTTTTTTTATGTTTTATTTTTTAGTTGTAATTAGGAAGACTATCCCCTGATTTGTTTCTCTTTGTTTCCTCTTACCACACCCAACGGTACAATATGGGTTGTGGATATTTTTACACTGCACTACACGTTGACAAATACGGGACAGTCCCAAGGCGATAGTAGCCTAATGGCAGAGTAAGGACCGCGAACTACCAAGATCGTGGGTTCGGATTCGCCATTCGACTACTGTCGTAAAGCATTGCTAACAAAAGCATTTCAAGCTTCCCAGTGTGTGTGGTAAAAGGGAAGGCATAGGCATTGCTAGTATTTGTAATTAAAAAATCTGTGATTTTTTTAAAGTTACCTTACGACAATCACTGGATGTTGGACAATCTACATAGAGTGATGGACTATAATGGAAATATGTAACACTAAATATTATTTTTTATTATTATAACTATATAAAAAATCTTATAAAGTGTCTTTAATCTATATACTTTTGGCCCTACTTGAATAATGTCTTACACGATTTTAATAAAATAGTTAATAATAGATTATAAAAATAATTTAATACATTCCTATTTACACTACACTCTTTATAAATTCAAATTTCCTTTGCTTTCGGATCCCTGTGTAATACCTATTATGAACAGGGTAACTAACATAGTCTGATAAAACGAAATAAAATAGAATATTCAAATAAATAAAAGTAAACAGATGAACTACGACAAGAATTGTTTAATTTTATATAATACTTTTTTTATATTTTTTTTTTTCTTTAGAAAATAACGTTACCCCGACACTAGCATTTTGTCCTGAATCGGGGAGGCAGTTTAAACCCCGAAATATTATTTGTAGGCGTTACGAATACTTGTTCCGTGCGGAATACGAACCCGCGGCCCTTAGCGTCGCAACTCATTGCTAAGCCACTGCGCCAAGATGTCGCCCCGATATCCTGTACTCTAAAGCAAGAGTGAATAAGCTTTTATTAAGCTGAATCAGTGAGCTTTAACATTTTCTGCCACATCACTACTTACCATTAAGTGAGATAATAGTAAAGAACATGTCTACAATAGTTAAATAAAAACTATACCACCAATATCAATGTGTCTGCGCGCAAAAGATTGGCATATAGCCTAATAACGTCAATCTTGCAAGCAGACAACCGGTGGTCACAGGTGAATTTGAATCGATAACATTCATTGAACCTATCATTCTATTCACCGTCATTTTAATTAAAGTCTATCAAATTCCAATGCTGTAGATGGCCGCCATTGCCACATAAGGGTAATGTTTGCCATAGTTGCCAAGCTAGGCAGCCGGGTTGGCAACCGCATTTTTTTATTATTCGTTTTATTCTCGTCCTATTTAGAATCAACCTGTTTGTCTTTATCCTAACTCCCTGTCCAATATCCGTGACCAATGGAGTGTTATCATCATGGTAAGATTTCACGATTTATTGAAGTTCATTATTTATTTTGCTATAATTATTTTATTTCATGTTTATTTGGATGCTTACTTGAAATTGTCTTAAATGATTTTTAAATTCTTCCTCACTTGAAATACACAGATTTGTGTTATATTAGTCTGTACCTGGTTTTTATCATTAGTATATTGTTATTTTGGACTAATTCTCGTAATTCTCTATATTATTCTTGTTAAGATATCGTAAACATTGCGTAACCAAAGCAATGACATAAGTTATAAATAAATTGATAGACATTCAAAGAATTCCTTGTCCATCTGCTTATCTGGGTGAATGCATTATGCTTATCTGCGTGGTGATTTTTTTTAATTGATTCATCAATTAAAAAAAATCACCACGTGTATGTCGAGCCACGCACAATGTAGAGTTCCGTAGTTGCCCGTCACAATACGCGAGCTTCCTTGATAATGAGCATGATGAGTTCCCGGTTGGACCGCTATAACGACCAAAAATGGGACCAAATAGGAAGATCATAACTCGAGGACCTATTTTCAAATCACCCTTATAGGGAGTGATATTCAAAAAGTTTAAAAAACTTTTCGATTTTGATAGTATTAACAATACCCTATAAAAGTAAAAGCAATAATAAAGTAGTAAGACATATAAGTCGTTTCCTACTTAAAATGTTTATTTTTAACAGTTTACGCTTGGTAGAGCCATGCTTACACGTGGTAGAGCCATGCTTATACGTGGTAGAGCCATGCTTATACATGGTAGAACCACGCTTATACGTGGTTGAGCTATGCCTACACGTGGTAGAGCCAAGCTTATAGGTGGTAGAGCCATGCTAATACGTGGTAGGGCCATGCTTATACATGGTAGAACCACGCTTATACGTGGTAGAGCCATGCCTACATGTGGTAAAGCCATGCTTACACGTGGTAGAGCCATGCTTATACGTGGTAGGGCCATGCTTATACATGGTATAACCACCTGTATACGTGGTAGAGCCAAGCCTACACGTGGTAGAGCCATGCTTACACTTGGTAGAGCCATGCTTAAACGTGGTAGAGCCATGCTTATACGTGGTAGGGCCAGGCTTATACATGGTAGAACCACGCTTATACGTGGTAGAGCCATGCCTACACGTGGTAGAGCCATGCTTACACGTGGTAGAGCCATGCTTATACGTGGTAGAGCCATGCTTACACGTGATAGAGCCATGCTTATACGTGGTAGAAGCACGCTTATACGTGGTAGTGCCATGCTTACACGTGGTAGAGCCATGCTTATACGTGGTAGAGCCATACTAGTAGTAAAGTTGTAGCACGAATGGGTCGGCTCGACCGCGGAACGACCACACTCTTACAGAATACCAGCGTAAAGTGGAAGCTTAATACTGCTGTGTTTCGTATGTTCGTATTGAGTGTAGAGAACCGAAGACTCATTATACTGGAAAAGAGGGATTCCATCTTAGTCCTCACGGGTGACGACGCATCTGCATTTTGATTCTTTATTGAGGATAAATGTAGATGGCTATGGGTCACAGCAACCACTTATCATAAGGTGAACTGTGTGCTCGTTTGTCACCCTATGCTATAAAAACACAATAACATTGCAAAGTTATTAATGCAGCTAGGTTATTTTCTATGGAGTTGTAACAAAATTTTTACTAATCCAAGTGCATTTGGTCGACTATTTACTCGTTAACTTTTTGATTCTACTTAGCTGTGATAGTTTTTCTTTTAACTTTATTATATGTATCACTATTGTGTATAATTTTGAAATTTCCAAAAACAGCGGTTTAATTGGTAGAGGCTAAATATTTCTCAAACGGACCCCTGATTCGAAAAGATTTTGTTCCACGTCCCCAATGTTTTTCAAAGACATTAAAAAAGAATCATCAAGAAAGTAAAAAAGTAAAAAACCCAAAATAAAAATATTTTTTAAGATTTTATTTCATAGTATTTTTAGGCGTGATTAAGATCTGTAACTGTGCCAAATTACAGATTTGTAGCTAGGGTCTCTGAGCAAAAACCGCAGACGGACGGACGGAGAGACATAAGGGTTCCTTGTTGCGTAACTACGGAACCCTAAAAAGGAATATCGTTAGAGAGAAGCCTTTAAATTTGAATTAACAGAATTAATTTAAGAGCTTGACATCATCGATGGCAGAAAAGAATGTGTAGAAAGAACATGGCAGAACCTTAGGGATGTAATGGTAAGTTCAGCGGAAGAAGTGTGTGGAACAATAAAAAGAGGCAGTAGTAAAAGAAGAGATGCATGGTGGAATTATGAAGTGGAAGAAGCTGTAAAGAAGAAGAAGAAAGCATGATTAGACTACTTGGCCTCTAGTAATGATAAGGATATGAGAGAGAAGATGAAAGAAAGATATAGGCTGCAGAACGTTCACACGAAAGCACAGATTGAGGAAGTGCGTGAAAGGTGTAGAATGGAAGCAGACGAAAGGTTGTCGCACATCTTTAAGGAGAACTCCAAACTCTTCTGGAAAGAGGTTGGAAGGACCCGAAGTGGTGCGACGGCCTTATGAATGAACAAAGTGCTTTCGAGAACTAATGACGTCCTCTCCAGAAAAAATCGGACGTCATGCAGCGATGGAGCGAATTTTATAGAGAAATGTATGCGTGTGATGATCTTAGTGAGGGATCCGGGATGACGCCGTGACTGGTACGCCAGACCCGGACCTCGATGACACTGAGGTCATCAGTATGAAAGAGATTGAACGTGCGATTCGAAGTTTGAAATGTGGTAAAGCTGCGGGACTAGGCAGAGTTACTGCTGAAATGGTCAAGTTTGGTGGGCCTCGCGTCTGGGACAGCTTTCATCTGCTGTGCAATTTGTGCTGGCGGACGGGGGATGTCCCGCATGATTGGCGATCCGCAGTCATTGTGCCTTTATATAAAGGTAAAGGTTCACGTTTTGACTGCGGATGCTATCGGGCGATCAGCTTGACCAGTTTAGCAAGTAAAATTTACTCGAAGGTTTTGACACGTAGGATGCAAGAGAAATCGGAAAGATTTCTATGGGAGGCACATTGCGGATTTAGACCTGGAAGAGGATGCACGGATCAAATGTTTTCTCTCCGCATGATCACGGAAAAGCTTCTGGCTGCTAACCAGCAGATTTTCTGTGCTTTTTTGGATCATGAGAAAGCATTTGATAAGGTTGTAAGGAATAAAATGTGGAACTGTTGCCGGGTATGGTGTGGATGGTCGATTGCTAAGAGCTGTGCAGTCTCTTTACTGTGACTGTAAAGCCTGTGTGCGGGTAGAGCATGACCTGTCACCCATGTTTAGCGTCCAAACGGGCGTAAAACAGGGTTGTGTCCATGTCTTCCTGGCTGTTCATACTGTATCTCGACAGCTGTTTACAGAAGCTGAAAGCCGTTTGGGTTCAGCTATCTTAGCTGTTTGGGTGTGAAATTGGGTGACATAAAAGTAAATTGTCTGCTGTATGCTGATGATGCAGTGCTTGTTGCACCATCAGAGCAGAACTGCAGGCATTAGTCACGTGTATGAAAGAGGAATGTTAAATTAAAGGTCTCCGTTTGAATGCTAATAAAACTAAAAGTTCTGGTATTTGAAAGGGACGAAGAGAGAACGAAGTGTGAAATATGTGTAAATCAGGAATGTTTTGAACAGGTAAATGAAATTGTATACTTGGGGAGTGCTTTTAGCCGGGATGGAAGATGTGATTTAGATGTGGACAGGCGTGTCGCTGCCGGGAACAAAGTCAATGGTGCCCTGACTGCGTTAGTCAAAAGGCAATGCGTAGCGAAGAGTGCAATACATAACGCAGTGTTGGTACCGACTTTGTTATATGGCAGCGAAACCTGGGTATGCCAGAAGATGCATAAAAGTAAGTTCAATGCAGTGGAGATGCGATCTCTTCGTAAAATGTGCGGCGTTACTATGGCCGACCGAAAGCGAAACGAAGAGATTCGCAATATGGCAGGTTTGAAAGATGACCTTATCACAAAAATTGATAAGGGCGTGCTTCGGTGGTTTGGGCACCGTTGAGCGAATGAGTGAAGACCGAATGGTGAAGAAAATATATAGCGCGAAAGTAAATATTAAAAGGTGTCGAGGTAGACCGAGACTAACTTTCGAAGACCATGTGAGCAAATTGCTTGAAGAGGGTAGGTCAAGAGTACTTGGATACCTAGATGTGCATGCATGAAGAAGATAATGAATCTGAAAGAAGCGAGAGGTTTGTAAGGATCGTGACACTTGGCGATCTGTTCTCTCTGGCTACCCCGTCAGGGATTGTGCGTGAAGATAAGTAAGTAAGTAAGTAAGAATTAATTTCAATCTGAAATCAATAAAAATACGGTTCTTCATTACTTTAGAAAAGCGTCTTACTTTAACTTTTCCAATTTAATCTAAAAAAAGACAAATCGTCACTGGATTTTGTCTTAGATCGCACGTGACCAATATAAGTAAGTTCCTACTTCTATTTTTAGTTTCACGTTTTTCGGAAGCTTTTTAAATTTAATGCGATTGCAGCTGATATTTATAGTGAATTGTGAAGCGCCGTTTTAGTAGACTACAAAAAGAAGGAGGTTCTCTATTCAACTGTATTTTTTGCTTTTTATTTCGTTCGTATTAAACTTTTAGTTATGAAACAATATTAAATTCTTTTTTTTATTGAATTGGCTCTACTCGACAGGAGGTCCTTTTAACAATTGAAAAAACTTACACTCTTTAGAGAGAGAAAAAGTGAAGTGACTAATGTAACTACGAGTATTTAGACGACATAATAGTTGTTGTTGTAATTGTGTATTCTTTAGTCAACTCAAAAAGGGTCAAAACATTGAACTTTAGAAATTAAAATCTGGCTTCAAACAGCTAAAAAAATAATAAAATAATTTCACACTCCAAATTTTTCTTCTGAATTTTTACAATATCATAAAAAATGCTATGTGTTTTTATAACAAAATAAATAGTAACAATATGAATCATATTATACATTTTTGATAAAAATACAAACCGACTTCAAAGTGAAAATCATCCACAAAGTTACATTCGAATCTTCATTTCATATTTTTCATACTCAAACGTAGATTTTTTTCTTTAAATTTATGTCGTAAATTTATATATGTAAACGTATCTATAATCACCCCTGAAGTAGAAACTATATAATAAAAAAAAATTTAAATCATTTCAGCCGTTTCCGTGAAATCGGTGAACATACATAAACAAACTACACGTCGAATTTAGCAGCTGCTCATTTTTTGAACTCGGTTAAAAACTAACAGTTATTGTGTAATCAGAATAACACACACTAGAACGCGTATATATATATACGCGAGAGCAAATTGAAATTGATTTGAAGATTTTATTTTTCAGTCTTTTCATACGGTGTTCAGACATCGTATGAAAAGGCTGAAAATAATATAGTATATTATCCGAGTAGGTGAAAAAGATAGCATGCTTCGGTAGCCATTAAAAACCGCTTCTTAAATAGCGCGACTTATACCAATTAATTAAGTATTTAACCAGCCTTAAGTCTGAACGAATGTTTTTCTTTGTCAGAAATTTCCATTTAGTAAAGCTGTATGCGCCGTCAATTTGGTTTCATTATCGTAAGAACAACGTTTACGAACGTATTAACAAGCGGCAATGTCGGCGTAACGAGCAGAAGTGGCGAGCGAAGTGCGTAATGAAACGGTGCTTGCCAGCCTTTTTAACCGTAGCAATTTCGGCCCCTATTAGTATACTTTAGTCTCTAAAATTCTACAATACAGATTTTATGTAAATAATATGATGTGATATCGTTCTTTGAATAATTTTTGTCATTAATCATTACACCCTATCGAAATCCACCGCTGATCATTGGCCTTCCCGTAGAAATCCTCATAAAGTGGATATTTTTCATACTTGCTACGTTTGGCGGGCGGGTTGGCCACTGTTGTTTTTTTTTTTCATTTGTTATAAGAAAAACGCTGTTGCCCATCTCCTGGTTTGTTTCCTTCTGTCGCCTCTTACGGCACCCACGAGTCGATATAAGGTAGTAAATATTCTTACAACACCACTTAAAGGTTAATTACAATTTCAAATTAATTATTAAAAATATAATAAAGACATAATCTAGGACCTAAGCAGCAACGGCTACAGCACCTAGAATATGTTTGCGGGAGTCGTGTGGTGTGGTGTGTTAACACCGTAACACACCACACCACACGTACGGTCATTGCCGTAAATATCACAGTACGCGAGCATCCTGGGCTCGATCCCCGCCGATACTAATAAAATCGTTAGTTGCAATTTTAAATATTACCTTTACCA